ATTTATTTATACATAAAATTATTATTTTATTATTATTATATATATATCATTATATATAATATTGTTAAAACTCTTTCCGCTAATCATCAAAACACAAATTTCTGGAAAATCATAATTTACAAAAACTTTAAAAAATATACAAAAGCTACTAGGAAATTAGACTCGAAGCTCTAAAGAAAGAGGAAGAGGACTACAAGAAACACTCAGTCTTTTAGAGCCTTGAGTTAGAAAAGACAGAAGTGACAAAGAAATAGGAAAAGTCATGAAATATCATCGGTATTTTTTTGCACTTTGTGAAAAATTGGGAAATCGGTTTTGACCCTGAATCACAGATCTGTTTTGGTAACACAAGAATTACAACACATAATAAAAAATAAACAAAGAAAATACGACAAAAGCCACGTGACAAAAACAAATATAAGCAGAAAAAGTAAACAATCATAGCAAACAACAACAACAAACAACAACTGCAGAAAAGCAATATGTCACTGTTTTCACATGAAGCAAACAGCAAAAGAATGAGCTGCAAAAAGACCCAATAATATAGTAGAAGATATGATAACATTATTTGACGCTATCTAGGAAATAACAACAAAAATAACTAATGAAGTGATAAACACAACAGTTGAAGAAATGATGTCAGAATATATTGGACAAAGACTTATCACAAAAGAAGAAGCCAAAATACAAGAAGAAGAACTCTATGAAGAACTATGGCAATATAAACATGGTAAACTAAAATATACAGAGCTTGCACTTATAGAAAGAGACAGTAAGGCCTTTCATGAAGCAATACAAAATGGAAAAGACCCACTGCAGAATATACTAAAAGAAGAAATAGTTGGTATTATGGTGCAATTAAGAATAGCAGACAGGATTAGACAGGTATTAAAAGATAGAGAAAAACAAGTTGCTAAAGTAAGGTCGAAAATAGACTCAGGTTGGAGCAAGAGACTCCAAGAGCAAAGAAGAAACCAACAAAAACAGCACAACAAAGAAGCCCTGAAATCTTTAGTACAACAATTTGAAGACTCAGTCAAGACTATTGCAACAAACCAGCTTGAGAAAAAAAAGAAAATTCAAGAAACAAGAAAAAGAAAATTGCAAGCTTTGCAAAGGGAAAAACAAGCTGCCAAAATAAAGTCGAAGTTAGAGTCAAATTGGAGCAAGAAACTCTAGAAACAAAGAGAAATTCAGCAAAAACCAAACAACAAATTAGTATTAAGAACTCTGGCCATAAACTTCAAGATATCTACTGAATTTGACCTAGCAAATCAAGAGGAAAAAAGAAGAAAATCAAGAGAAAAAAAAGAACAAAGAAATAGGAAACAAAATATTAAAGCTATTGAAGAAACAAAATATATAAAAGAGGGTCAGGAAAAATTAAGACCAAAAGCTGAAACAATGACCCTAGTAGAATGGTTAATCGAAACAATATACCAATTAAGCACTAAAGACCCACAGTCTAATAACAAAACCTGGAGGAAGATAGAGAGTAACCTACTCGTAAAATAGATGCAGTATCTAAAGTTCCAAAGAAATATCAACTTAAAGGCGATCCAAGACACATCAACATACAAATTGAAAGGAGACAAAAATTGGAAAAGAAGAAAAAGAAAAAGAATAGGCTATTAGAATTAGTAGAAAAGATTTTTGTAGTAATTTTCAAGAATAGAGAAATCTTTAGCGAGATACAAGAAAAATTTTTGGGAAGAAAACCAAAGATTAGAAAGAAAAAAGGAAGAAAGAAAAAGGCAATGAAAGAGAATGAAAAAGACCTTCACACCCAGAATTCAAAAAGAAGAGAAATCAAGCAGACTACCCAAGACCTAAAAAAGGAAAGACCAAAGAAGAGCCCATTACACTTTGAAGAAAAGAAGGTTTATAGAAGAATTTTCTTAGAGAAGATCTTTAAAATGAGTGTTCAAGAAGTAAATGAAGAACATGAGGCCATATTACAAGAAGAAAGTATCAAAGAAAAGGACACTAAAAGACTTCGGAGAGCCAGTTCCCAAATCAGAGAGAATAGATTAAATTGAAAGAAAAGAAAAAGAAAATGTAAATATAATCAGAAGAATTTTGGCAATAACCCTACTTTGAGAGATATAATAAAATCATTTATTTTTAAAAAATTAGGTTTAGAAAATAGTTGCAAAAAGGAGGATAGTTTAGAAAGAGAAAATTGCCAATTAGTTTTAGTTAAAAATTCTTTTGATTTGAAACCATCCTACTATCATTGGGAAAGTTATATATATAGATATATATCGATTACTAACCATAAAGATATATATTGATAGTAATCACCCTGCCGAGTTTCATCAATTTCGATTATAATTGCTATATAACCAATTAATATACCCATTGATTTTTATCATTTTCGATATTAATCAATATATAGCTGATATAAACAGTTCACATCGAATATATCAAATCGACTAAAATAAATGCACTATTGTACATATTATATACTATACATTGAATTTGTTTTGAATCAAATTATTAAACTAATTTTATTTACAATTTTTTTTAATACAATTAATATTGTAAAAAAGCACAATGCAATTACAAATTACATATTACAAATTACATATTACAAATTAAAAATGAAAAAAATGAAAAAAAGACAAAACAAAAAAAAAATGCTACAGTTTGCTCTCAAACAATTGATCCATCTCGTCTTGGAACATTTGCATCATGTTGCTTTGTTGGAATGATGGTTCCGCTTCTGATTCACAGTTTGGTGTAGTTGTATGGGATTTTTGGTCTTCATTGTTCTCAAGCTCATTTTCAGCTAAAAATTTGGCAGATTCATAAGATAGGCCACCACTAGCGAAGTCATTCTACAATACAAAACTCATTAATAATGCTTTTGATACAAACTATATACGATTGTATACGATTATATATGATAAAACTTACTAGAAAGCACTCTATGCGTCATTTTATTTTACTCTTTTTACATATTATACCTTTTGATTTGGGATTCAATAAAATATCGCACACGGCAAGTGTGAAAGCGCGATGTTCATCAGACAAAGTGGGTACTGTGGTTGTAGAGAAGACCGATCTTGCTATAACAGCTACTCAAAAAGCACCACTTTTATTTTGCTCAAAAAGAGAGCGATAACAACTAGCAACTTCCTCACTTTGTTTCTACTTTACTATATCGGACATCGCAGCATTACTCTTTAACAAGGGGAGCCTCTCACATCCAAATACACGCCAGATAGCAGCTCTAATATTTTGCAATGTGGCACCTCGAAAGTTTTTTATTTTTTGTAACAACTATCACATATAAATGTAATGTATTAATTAGTAATATAAATAAATAAAATAAGTAACATAAGAAATTATAAGTGATTATAATCGATAAAAGTTGTAACATACGGAACTAGACCATTCGGTATGGAACCGGTTGGTAAATTCATTTGTGCTTATATTTGACATAAAGTCAGGATACATTTTCTCTAAATAATCCTTAAGGGATTCCTTAAGAGTGCTTTGAGAGGGGTACACGTCTTGAGGGAACAGGCACTTTACAACATTTGTATACATGTCCTATACAATATATTTATGAAAAACAATGCTTAACTATGCGCATTTCAAAACTTTTACTAAATGATCTACTTATG